AACAGCCGGCAGCCTTTGTGACGGGCCCCCGGAGAAGGCGCCGCAGGCTAATGCCGGTGTCTCGTGTTTTCCCCTTAGTCAACACAGACACAGAAACGGCCGTTGTCAACGTCACGTACGCGGCAAAAGAAGAAGCAAAAGTGTAAGTGGCGCTGGTCCCGTTTCGCCCTCCCCCTCGGGGGTGCTGCCCTTCCTCTCCGGAAAACGGGCTGAAATTTAGCCTCCTTTCCCCCTCCCATTCCTCCTCCCTCGCCAGGCCCCCGGGGTCGTCCTCTGCCCCCGTCATTCGTATGCTCGCAGCTTGGTCTGGGGGGGGTGCACCCTAGGGGGGCAGGGGACTGAGGGGCAGGGCACAGAGCTGGTGCAGGGGGCGCACCCCAGCAGGGCACTGAGCCCTGCCAAGCGGCCGTGGGTTACGCTCACACCTTTGGACGGGTTGTGCCTGTCTGAGGCGTTTGGATGTCTCTGAGCAGCTGCCGGAGGGGGCGAAGGCCGGGGCCTGCGGAGACGGGGGGGTGCACCCTAGGGGGGCAGGGGACTGAGGGGCAGGGCACAGAGCTGGTGCAGGGGGCGCACCCCAGCAGGGCACTGAGCCCTGCCAAGCGGCCGTGGGTTACGCTCACACCTTTGGACGGGTTGTGCCTGTCTGAGGCGTTTGGATGTCTCTGAGCAGCTGCCGGAGGGGGCGAAGGCCGGGGCCTGCGGAGACGTGGGGTCTCTGCTCTAGGGTACAGTCTCCTCTGCCTTTCAGAGCAATTGAGAAGCTCAGCGGCCACCAGTTTGAGAACTATTCCTTCAAGATTTCCTACATCCCGGATGAAGAGGTGAGCTCCCCTCCGCCCCCTCAGCGGTCCCGCCGGGGGGGCCGTGCCTCCAGGGAGCAGGGCTCCTCCCCGGGGGGCTCCTCACAGTCCAAACAGCTCGATTTCCCACTGCGGATCCTGGTCCCCACGCAGTTTGTTGGTGCGATCATAGGAAAGGAGGGCTTGACCATAAAGAACCTCACTAAGCAAACCCAGTCCAAGTAAGTACCGCGAACGGTTGTGTTTCCTTCCCCAGGACCCCGTGTGTGGCCAGTGGCTGCCGGTCAGCGCGGGGGCAATAGAGCGCGCTCGCCGGCGGGCCAGGAACGGGCCGGCCCGTCGCAGGAGGGGACAGCGGATGGTAGCGGACGGGGCCGTGAGGGGGCGCACAATGTCGCTTTCCTGGCCAGGGCGCCATGACAACACCCTGGCCAGAGCGCGCCACCCTGGCAGCCAGCGGCTAACCCCTCCTCCCCCGGCTTGAACTAACATGGCGTCTGGTCCCACGATCACCTCCTGGCTGGGGTCGCAGGCCCCAAACCATTCCCGCTGGCCCACGAGAAGGGGCGTCTCTTCGTGAGGGGGCGCACAATGTCGCTTTCCTGGCCAGGGCGCCATGACAACACCCTGGCCAGAGCGCGCCACCCTGGCAGCCAGCGGCTAACCCCTCCTCCCCCGGCTTGAACTAACATGGCGTCTGGTCCCACGATCACCTCCTGGCTGGGGTCGCAGGCCCCAAACCATTCCCGCTGGCCCACGAGAAGGGGCGTCTCTTCTCGGGACG